CAATCACATCCGCAATGTTGATTTTTCAATTCACTACCGTCGCTAAAAATATTTCATTTAAAAAATTCGTTTCCATATGACTCACCCTCGTACGCTTATTCATCGCGCATAAGTGCAGGCCTCGTGGTTAGTGTAGCCACACAAACGATTTTTTTTTTTGTTTTTAAATCGGCCAGACAAATTTATTTATTTTTTTCCATTTTATTGCCTAAATATTCCGTTTGGTATTTTGTTTACTGTTTTTCCAAGTTATTAATTTTTTTCTTTTTTATTTATTGCATTTAAAATATTTTCGAAACACATTTATTTTTTCTGTAATTTTGAGTTCTTGTTTTTGCCGCGCTCGTATTGAACACAACATCGACTATGTACCAATTTTGATAGCCGGCGCATTGCCATTTACTATAAATATTGTTGTTCTGCGACAAGCTGCTTATAGTATTAACTTTGTCAGTAAACGATTTAGAAGTTTCAATCGCCATTCTCGTCGCCTTTTACGAACTTTTTTATCAGCGGAAATTCGCAACATGAAAATTGCTGTAAGTTGTGTTTGTTTTGCACAAGTTTATGGATTGTGGAGTGGGCAACGCAAAGGATAATATATTTTCTCGGGCTCCTGTTGTTGTTATGTGGTGTAAAATGTTTTTTTTTTTTTTCAGTGAAGCAAAATTGAATTGGCAACAAATCAGTTTAGATGGAAGCTAGAAGAGGTGTGAAATTTCCAATAAATTTTGAGTTTTATGTAGCTGGAAAATGCTTAATTTTGTAGTGTGCTGAAGAAATCATTCCACTTATTTTAATTGTTTGTTAATCGTAGGCTCTTGCCTAAAATATTTGTTAAGTAAAATAATCCAAAAATCTTGCCAAAAACGGTTTAGAAAATACAAATAGAATAACATTAGGCAAAGCTAATTGTTTGATCACAAAAGGCGACTGTAATCGTTTCTGTGGCAATGCTAATAATATTTGAAATTTTTACAAGTTCTATAGAAAACTAAAATAAGTATTTATTATGGCGTAACTAAAATTTTAATTTTCCATAATTTGTAATTTTGCTTCATAATAACTGACAAACTTTGGCATATTTTGTTAAATCTTTTTCACAACTGCAATTACTAAGTCCCGCTGGGCCCGCTATGGTTGAGTGAGTAGAGCTACGTACGAGCACTCCGCAGCACCTGGGTTCGATCCCTGGTCTGAGCAACATCTATGTAAATTAAAAAATGTTATATGTATTGTACCAATAGTGTACTAGGGGGCTGCATGGATTCATTCAAAACGGCTTATGAATTATTTATATACAAAACGAATGAATGATTTTTGCTTAAAGTTTTTTTTGAAATTGAGTGAATATCTGTCCTGATATATGTGCCGACATTACAATATTTAAGCGAAGTGAAAATAAATTGAATTGAAATTAGTGAAAATTTTTTGTATGAATATCCAAAATTATTTTTTCTATGCACATACTATGTACAAACATACATATGAATGTATGTACATATGTATTGCTGCGCTCCTATTACAATACGAACAAACTTGTTTGTAGAAAAAAACTTGAACCGAAATGAGTTTGAATGATTTGAATGTTTTCAATTCATTCATTCACATTCTTCCATTTGAAGGTAGAAAATTTAAAACGAAATGTATTTTAATAACTTACAAAATTCCAAACGCTGAGTGTTTTATTTGTGAAGTAAAATATTCAAATCTAACGTACTGTGTTCGGCTGAATGAATTCATGCAGCCCTCTATTTTGTACCAATAGCCCAATACAAAAACTAGTGTTCGCCCAGCGGTTGAAATTTAACCATTAAAATTAAGAGAGTTAAGGTGTATTAAGGTGAGTTGAGTTGAGTTAAGGTGAAGTGACCTGGAGTGAAATGAGTTCAGGTAAAGTGAGTTTAGATAAGTAAAGTTGAGTTAGCATGAATTTAGCTCAGGTGAGAAGAGCTGAGGTGTGATCAGGTGAGTTGAGATGAAATGTGGTGAGTCGAGGTTAAGGTGAGTTGAGGCGAACTGAGAGGAGTTAGGTTAGGTTAGGTTAGAGTGGCTGCCACGCGCAGAGCACGAAGCACACGTAGGCTGGAAAAGCCTGTTGTGATACCACTGGCCGAAGCCATTTGCTTCTTTCCCTCGCTTAGTAATTGAACGACCGAGTGCGTTTTGTATAGCACAAAAAGTCGAGGACGCTCGCCGAGTTCAAGTCAGCTAAACAATCCAAAAAGTACTAGTTGAAGAGTTGGTTGCGCGTGTGGGCCAGGGCAGGACAATGGAAGAGATAGCGTTCGATGGTCTCCTCCTCCTCCTTCTCGTCTCTGTTTACCGTGTGTGCCCACCAGGCAGTGTCCGGTGATCACCGCGGCTACTAATCATAGAGAGGAGCGGTCCAGCCGAGTAAGAGCTATGGATCGCTTTACATGAATCTTTGACCAAATTTGCCTGATAGTATGGCAGGTGGTTTTCACAGCCCACCGTGTGTTTACCTCTTCGATGACTTCAGCCTTTAGTCCGTGTTTGCAGGAGGTTAGAGGTATGCCCGCATTCTGAGCAGAATTGACTTCAGATATTTCCATTCCACTCTTTGTCACCTCGTCGGCTAGGCAATTGCTAGGAATGTCCCTATGTCCAAGGACCCATACAACCGTCAAGGACCATTTTGATGCCAGCAGGTTGAGAGTCTTCCTGCATTCTATGGCTACTTCAGATGTTGTTCCGTAGATTTGCAGCCTGACTGTCAAAATAGATAGCTATAGGTCGTCCTGGAGGGGCGGAGGTTATGAGCCAGCGAGCCGCCTCCATTATGGCATTTAGCTCTGCTTGAAAGACGCTGCAATGGTCCGAGAGGAGTTGATGTGAGGTTGGTTGGGGTGAGATGAGGAGAGTTGAGATGATTTGAATTGAGCTGTGGTGAGTTGAGGTGAAATGCGTTTATCAACATAACATAAAATAACATAGCATATCATAACGTAACATAACATAACATGACGTAGCAAAGCATAACATAACACAACACAACATCAAATAACACAGCATAACATAACTAAACATAATATAACATAACATAAATTAAAATAACATAACATAACATATCATAACGTACCGTAACATAACAGAGCATATCGTCTCTATCACTTTTTAATGCCTATTTTTGTCTCTATCCGTTTTTATCCGCCTATTTATCTTTATCTTTTCCTTTACCCTTATCTTCATTATCTTATTCATCACACACATTTACCCTTATGTTAAAGTTTTAAATTTACTTTCCTCTTTGTCTTTACCTGCAGGTTTCTTTTATCATTTATTTCAATCTTTGCCCGTATCCCTTACTTCTTCTAAATCCTCAACTCTACCTTCTTCCTCGTATGATTCTTAATCCACGTAAATCTTATTCATAGGCTGCTGCTTAGAATGTTTTTTCTTTTATTTTAATTCAGAGTCAATATTACAGCCGCCTCATGTCAATACCGTTTATAGAAAACATGTTTGCCTATTTATATATAAGATGTACAAATCTACCAATCGTGTGACACTGCCTTTACGATTAGTGTCGTCGGGTTGTCATTCGAAGCACATACCCTGGCGTATACGTAACTACGTTCATTCGAAAGCTTTAATCGTAGAGAACGATTTTCATTCTCATAATTTAGTCGTTTAACTTCGTTGTATGTATGTAGTTTACATATACATATAGAAATTCCTGAACTGTTGGCTCGATTTTTGTTATTGAATAGATAGTCCTAAGTATCCTCTAAGCGGTTTGCGGAGTCGTTTTTTTTCAAATTCGTTTCTTAAATCAAATATGTTTGATTAAAAAAGTACAGTTACGCTTTTTTCTACATTAATTTAAGCTTGCCATTGGCTCTTATGAATAAAAACTAAACTTTTTTTTGTTGAAATTTCAGACCTTTTACTCGTTTGTTTTTTCAAATAAATTTAAGTGAAAGTTCTGAAATTTTAAGTTAGTTAAGTTAGTTTTTATCACTTAAGGCTAAACTATTTGCGTAGAAAAGTGTGTGAGCGCCAAATACTTACGTACATACTTATGTATATACACATGTAAGTATTTATACATCCGTGTATGTATTCTTTGCTCCATTGTATGCAAACGAATTGCAGTAAATACCAATTGTCCTATTTACATAACCTTTGCTGTTTTTGTAAGCTGTACGCTAGTTGCATTTCCCCACATATCCCGTTAATTTGCGGGCGTGAAAAAGGATTCGAAGCGGAAATTGTTTTCTATTTTTTATTTACATCACAAACATTGGCAAATTGTAGTTGAATGTAGTGACCTGTTAACAAATATAGCCGCCGCCCATTGATGTGGAAGAAAAACGATTTTATGATTTTAAATGGTGATGCAAAACATCGATATATTTTGCAGTCGAAATTGTAGGTATGTCAACATGTAGGCAAAATCATGCTTTTGCTTGACCGCTATAGCACCTTCATATGTTTTTCTGTATGTACTTACATATATGGCACGAAATTTTATTTGATACATACATATGTACATATATATTAGGGTGATTCAAAATAACTAACCTAACCAATTTATACTCTTAAAAGAACCTACATATTTACTGAGAAGAAAATTCTACCAATTTCTTTTCTAGGCATATTCTTGTAGGGCATTCAATTCTCTAAAACTGAGTTATTGTTAAAAGAATTGAATGCCCTATAATAATAAGTCAAGAAAAAAAATTTATCTCAAACGGTTCAATAGTTATAACACTTTTAATCAAATTAATTTTTTTTTACATGTTATTTACATGGAAAATTTCAAATGCCCACCGACATCTTTTGAAATTGGAATAAAAATGTTTCCAAATGGGAGAATTTTCTTCGCAGTAAATAGGTCCTTTTAAGGCCATAAATTCGTTAGGTTACTTATTTTGGATCACCCTAGCATACTATATACATACATACATAAGAAGAACCACATAGTTTAAACAAAAACCTTTGGTAAAAACTTTATATCATCCTCACAGATTCTCGTACTCATTGCCGCCAGCGTTGCCATGGCCGCGCCCATTGAAGAATCATCGGTGAAGCAGAAACGTGGCCTCGCTTTGGGTTTGGGCTATCATGCCCCGCTGCTAACGCATTCCACCCACCTTTTGGCACCAACTGTAATCCATTCAGCACCGCTGTTGCATGCTGCTCCCATCGTGCATGCACCACTCATAACACATCATGCCCCAATTATTACTTCGCATGCAATCTCACATTCAATTTATCCTTCCTATCATCTACCAGCCATTTCGACGTTGCATCATTACAAATAAAGCGGTCGTCGTCGGCGTCGTCGTCGTTAGCAGTGTGGGGAGAAAAAAGCGGTGGTTGTGGCATGAAGTTCTCGCACAATAATTGGTGAATAGTAAAAAACAAATGCTATAGCAACAACAACAACAACAACAACAGCAGCAACAACAACAACATAACAATAAAGGTAGCTACGATGTAGAAGTCGCTCGCAGTCATTATTCAACATCTCCGCTGATTTTTATTGGATATATCGAAAGAAAAAAATACTCGAAACAAACTAAAAGGGATTATCCATCTGTAAAAATGATGAAAATAATGCGAATGGAGTTTAAAATTGTTATTTGTACTTTCATTTTCCATTTTAGTGTGAACAGGATTCTCTCCTTCAAGGTTCAATGATTAGCAATTATATATGTAAATAAAAAATCCTTTGAACACTAATCGCGACTTTTATTGATTCGAGCCGACACATATTGGTGACGCTGACATCTAGCAGTGGGTAACACAGTGCGGCGCCGTGCCATTGCGCTGATACCGAGATTTGAGTTACTGGCTCCGATACCGATTTTCACAACTCAGTGACGCAATGGCGCCATCAACACCAAAACACTGACAACACCGGGCGGCGCAAAGAACCAGCAAAGAACGCACAAAAGAAGTGCCACTTGTAAAATATGCAGCACAAGGGGAATTTTTGAACTTGGGTATACTTGAGTTGTTTTTGCCCAAACGATACCACCTTGTATTAATTCACCTTAGGGCCTGGGGAGATATATATGTAAATTCAATTCCATCTTAATGGAGGAGAGCTGCCACGTGTTTAAAAAATAAATTCAACTCGAATTAAGGGAACTATTTATTTGAAATTTTTGTCACAATATGGGTGTCAGACGAAAGGGGTTTAAAAGGGTTATGGTTTGAAAATGATCGCAAGAAAATTGTAGTGTTCTTAATATCCAGCCTTGTTGGTTGGTTTAATATCGATATAGGGCAAATTAATCGAAATCTGAACTCTATTGGAAATTGGTGATCTAGGCCAAAAGTAAAGACTTTGATTTGTAGGGTTGCCACCTACTTGAAAAATCAAATTTTACTTGAATTAAGGGAATAAGGTAATTTGAATATGTAACATTATTTGGATGTCGAACGAATGATTGTATTTTAAAAATCTTTTGAAGAGTGTTGCTAACAACATATAGAAGGGTTGCCTACTGTTTAAAAATCAAATTCAACTTGAATTTAGGAATTAGGTAATTCAAATATGTATATGCATATGTATGTATCACAACATGAGGTTTAAGAAGGTTGCCACCTGTTTAAAAATTTAAATTCAAAATATATAAAAATTTGAATGAATAATGAACAAAATGGGTATCAATCGAAATGGTTTTGAAAAAGTTTCATTTCTAAACTACGTGTAGGATGATTGCTATTTGTGTAAAAAACTCCAATTGGCTTTGAATTCAGGGAATAAGTTAATTGCAAATGTATTCCAGAAAAGAGGTTTCAGAAAGTTTTATAACCCAATCCTGTATCGGTGAAAAAATTTTTTTACTGACAAATTTTAACTTTTTCATAAATTTTTCCGTAATAAAAACAGATACAGATTAGAACCGTTAGGTTAAAACTATTTTGAAGGTTGTTAAAGAATTTTCGGCTGAATTTAATTAACTATGCAGTATTTTATTGAAAAATAAAGCACGCAGACATTTCAAACACTCATCGAAGCGGGTGTGACAATCTGATTGAAATATAATTTTTTATGAAATTCTCTTAAACGGATATCTCTCAGAAGCGGAAAAAAGTAGGTGACCACCGGTGTCCACTTATAAGAGCTTTCACTGTACACTGTACTTGCATTGTATAAATTTCAAATTTAATTTCCAATAATTCGCCGTGCTTCTCTCAATCTCCGGCACTACCGCTTTGATAAGCGCTTGCGATCCAGAGCAACCAACACACTGGTTAATACAAAAACTAAATAATAACACAAAATAAATCTCTGCCGTTTACATTTTACTCATTTCTAACAAAAATAGTGCTTCGATAAAGTTGAGAGTGCTTTGCAGCCGTTCAAAAACGAAAGCCAACATTAAATGCGAAAAACAATAAGTAATAGGTTGTGAACATTATATGCCGCTGCAAGCAACAAGCGACACTAAAACCATTCGAAGTAGGCAGCAAAATAACCCATTTTACCACCTCGAACTTAATCCTGCTTTGATGTTTGCTATCAACAATGCGGGTATTTACCAAGAAAGCAAAGCAACAATCATTTGATACGCTATAATTCCATATGGTTAAGGCAACAATCATTGTGAAGCATATGATGGCTTCGAGTTGCGGATAAAAACAAAACACTATCAAGTGAGGCAGTTTGTGACTTTGAAGTGCGCGTATCTATGACAAATAGAGGATTTCTGGAGCTTCAACAGAATCAATGAGTTAAAATAACAGCTTCAACGTATGCGTGTTGTGTTAGTAAGTAAATATGAACAGAACATAGTCGTAGTCATAGTCGTAGTTTACAGAGATATCTATGGTAAATCTAGTTTTAAAACTTTACAGGAAAAGCAAACAATATTTTAAATTCAATAAAGGAAAGGCCCCTTTGGATATTTTGATTTCGTATTTTTTTTTTTAGATGTTGGCTTAAAGTGTGATACGTTGGTGTATTTGAGGGTGAACGACACAAGGAAAAACTATCTACCTAATACTATAAAATTGAATAAAATTAATAAATTACCTCTATGGTTGTTACACCAAGCCTTGAAATGACGAAAAATGTGTCACTCTAATTATGCTTTCGCTTGCCTAATCACTGTAACAAATTTCAACGTCAGCTTAATTTTGGGCCGTAGATTATGTATTTGTATACCGTTTTTCCAGATCAGGTAATTTTCCCAAGATATTTTTTTTTCTATGAAAAAAAAAAAATCAAATATTTGCATTGTGCATTTTCTTCCATATAAAGAATGTTCTTAAACAGCTAAAAGCACTACAACCGGTCAAACTAGCTCCATATATTCCATAATAATTCACCAAATTTAATTCGTGATATTTTTATACAATTTGTAAGTAATAAAAGCAATGAGTGACTATAGTTTTTTTAATGTAATTTTTAAGCGTTCGCAATTTGCATTCGCGAATGTGAAATATGTATGGGACATTCGTAACATGCCTGCACTAGATATATATCTATGTATTTAGCATCAAACGATTTTTAGTAACATCACTCTAATGCCCGTACTGACCACCATTGCGATGATGGTATTCGTAGAAGCTTGGAGAGGCTGAAAATTGTACACGTTTTGTTGACAATACATACATATGGCATAAGTATGTATGTATGTATTTAAACTCTCGATTTCACCGAATTTGTGAACTTGTATATTTGCACAAAATTTTCCGTACAACAACACTTACTTATGTACATATGTATGTACATGCGGCGGATACAAGCTTAGTGCTGTGTTGTTGGTACTTATCTAACTAAAGTGGAGATGCTGTTGCACGAAACCAATACTGGAGAACGAAATAACAATCCGAAAATAACAATGTAGTTCATAGTACGAGTAATAATAGTGTTTTGCCCCTATTTGGTCTTTCAAAGGCCAAACCGATTTTGATTTCGCTTGAATTTGAACATAGAGGCAGTTTCATTTTAAATGGTGGTGATTAGAAGTACAAAGAAAAACGAGATGAGATGTTCGTCGAAATTTTGCTTTTATAGATCGAAATAATTGGGTTTTAAATCACTAAAAAAGCTCCTACGTCCGCATTGTACTTGTTACTAATAATTGTGGTCATACACGAAAATAACGCATTATCCCTTGCTAATAAATGATGGTTTGGTCTTCAGTTTATTGATTATTTGTACAAGTGATTTGCCATTTCCATCACTTTTACGAAATTATGGAATGGAACTGGTCAGAAAGGATGCTATGTGTACTGAAAATCATGAGAAACTTTATGTATTACACCGCAGAATATTATGGGGATTGTATGTCAATAGTCATAAAAGCTGCCAAGTATCTCAATTTTTTGGAAATCCGACGCATAGCAGAAACGCACTGAGCCTTTACTCAAAGAAACGCTATGACAGAAAAATTAGGTAAACTCAAAAGCCTTATGTACTTTGCAATTATGCGCAGAACTGTCAAAGAATTCGTTTTACTGATGGAAAAATCTTGAAACTTGAAGAGGGCTTATATTCAATTTGATCTGCAATTCACTTTAGACTTAACTGTCATCGTTGAAGTTCATGCTGACCTTTTATATCGATTGTCAGAAGAATTAACTATTCAATTTCGAAACTAAAATTGCTTAAGAAGGCCTAAAGCCGAAAATATTTTTGAGGAGGGTTGCCACCGGTTTGAAAGTTTTAATTTAGGTTAATTTAAAATATAAATTAAATATTGCTATAGTGACACCAGTTTACTGCCGAAAATATTTTTGAGCAAGGTTGCCACCCGCCTGAAAATTGTAATTCAATTAAATTGTTAAGATAAGGGATAGTAGTGATATCAAACGAAAGATATTTGCGAAATCTTGAATATGTTTTGCGCTCAGCGAAGGTCTTCCGTTTTTGCGTTTGATTGTGCAGAGTCAACTTTGCGTTTATCAAGTTTATCATTGCAACATACACAAACAGAAAGGTAAATTTCTTTAAAATAAAGAGCTAAGCTATTGCGCAGCCATTTCGCATCTACATACATATGTGTGAACTATAACAAAAGCACCAAAAACAAAAATTGCTGATAGCTGCATTGTGCTCAAAAGTCAAAACAAAGTGCAAATAAAACCACAGCAAATAGCTTGCGAATTTCAAGGATTTCTACAAGTGGTTTAATGCAACCATACTTACGTTCAGTTTCAAATGCTACAAGAAACTTTCACTATTTTGCGTGCCAACTCAATTTTGGGATTCAATAATCTCTAAAGAAACACAAATCAAAATCATAAATTTTAAATTTGTGTTATTGCGAGTGCACTGGAAATATGTATGTATGTATATTGCAACCTGTGTTGCACAAAAATAATGTCATAGATAGAATGCCAGCCAATCCAAGGATAAAATGAAGCTGCGCATTTGCTGCAATTTTTCGTATTCAGTTATTGTAAGAATTTTCATACATACATACGTATATGTATAAGTATTTACACTTGTGGCCAGCTGATTAAGTCAAGTGACATTTCGACTAGTTTTGGCTATTTTTCCTTTGTTTATTTAATGTTTATATGTATTTTTTTTATAAAAGTTTAGCACTTTACCTAACCAGCGCCATATTTCAAACTTCGTACAAAAATTATGAAAACTTAACAAGCTTTAACATTTGCACCCGAAAACTTTAACCTTTTTATTCAGAATTTTTAGAATTTTTGCATTTTTTGGGTA